GTGGTTGACTCTTAACTTTTATAAAGAATATCTCTTTGGATTTGAGACTTTAGTCTTTGCAACTTTACAGATCTTCTTTATGCACCAAGAGCTTGTAACACTCCAAAGAGAAAGGAAAAATTTAAATCGCATCATATGACCCCTTTAAATATTTGTACTAGTAAACAAGACAAAATACTGTGTAAGAAAATAATTTTTTTGCTGTGAATGTAATGGATTTGCTGCTCCGATTTTATCACTTGTTTGTTTTGTTGCATATTTGTTTTATCCTCGTCTCTTTTACTTCCCGCAGTTGGGTATTTGCACTTTCATCAGTCATCTGAATGCAGTAAAGCATTTATCCAGTCAAATCTTCTCCCTTGAAATCTCAGTTCTGCAAACACCTGACAGACCGCATTAGGAATGATATGTACTCTTTGCTTCGATGCTCGTCCCACGGATGCAGAACATTAACGGCAATGTCCTGAATGCACAAAGGTATCAGTATGAAAAGCTTCAGAGGAGAGAGAGAGGGGTCTTTGCACCAGCATCTCTCAACCCACCGATGCAGCTCTTCAAATGGAGATCAGTTCTCTGTAGCACACATGTGGAGCCTCAGAGCTGTTGTGTTTTCATTGGTGGACAGGAATACAGATTAAAGAACAAAGCATGTCTGACCGTACTGACCTTCAAATATGCATAAACATACGATTACTCACAAGTCCCCAAGCACATTTACAGAATCAAGATCGAATGTTCAGGATTCGTCCTGAAAGTACTAAAATATGAAATGCTGCTTATTTGTTGATTGCAAACCTAGGTCAGACTAGCGGTTTTATTTTCTGTTCATTTTCAATGAGGTTTGTAGTTATAACCTTGTTAACAAAATGTGGAAAATGTAAATGTACAGTTTAAAACTTAAATTAAAATAAAAACTGAAAATATAAAAATAAAAGGCCATTAAAATCAAAATAGACCAAATTTATCAAGTTAAGAAATAATGGAACAAATATACTAGAATTATCAGGGTTGCAAATGTAGCTGAAATTAAGCTGTCAGGTTGGTGTGGATCAAAATGTTATTAATAGAATTAAATTAACTACAACAGGGTTGGGTTTGACGCATACAGGGAATAGGCCAACAACTACTTATAAAAATTGAGGAATTATTTACTTATTTGATGTTAAATTTTTAAAGAACGTTGATAAAATTATGATTCGTGTTGGATACAGTTAAGAAGGTCATGACCTCTGATGTGGGACAGGCAAAATTACCATTTGATGATGGGTGGGCTATATTTCATATCTAATACTGGTAATGCTTCTAAAAAGTCATGAAACACTAAAGTGAAGTGTGTTTGTGGAGAGTACCAAATGCAGGTCTGGATGACCTTTCAAAACAGCATTTATGACTTCATAAGTGATGAGTATTGGCAGTTAAGAAGATAAAGACAGCCGCTTCATCCTGCTGATATCTGCTGGTGTTGTGACTGACAGCATTTGAATGACAGTCAAAATTTCTGCTTGAGCTCTCCTACTTGACCTGCATTCAAAATAATTCCTTTGTTTTAACATCAGCACATATGCTGAAACATCGCTGCACAGTACTTTTCCAGAATCGTGTATTTATTCATTTTTATTGTCTTATTTTATTCCAATTGTTTTACCTCAACAACCCGCTGCCTTTGTTCCTCTGTCTGTCTGCCTCTTGTACAGTTTAAAGAGAAGACTACACAGCTACGGTATTTATACAGAAAGTGTGTATTTATTTTCCAATAAAGACAAAATGCAGGAAAAAATAAAAATCCCCCTTTGTCTTCCCATTCTTCAACTCCCACCAGTTTCTGGTGCTTTGTGGCAGGTACAAATCTCATTAACTATAATCAGTAAGATAATGTAAAATTAATAGACCCTCACGTCTCACTAAAATATGAAGTAATCCCCTAGCATGCCTTGAAACCCATTTGATCAAACCGATTCATACACAAACACATGATTATCTGGACTGGTTAGTTATCTGCAAGCAGAAGGCATCTTGTGGTTTCTCATTCATTAGGTGTCAAAGCACAGAGAAAACCATTAGAGGCGTACAATGCAAATAGAAAGCCTCATTAACAATATATAGCTCATGGCTGGATGAGGACAACACGGGATATGAGGAAATAATTGATTGCAGGCTTCATTTTGCATACAGGTCTATATTTTTTGTCTAGTATGTGTTAGTGTTAAAAAATAAACTGATGTATAAATCAAAAATAAAATGACTATATGAACAAACTGTGGAACCAGTGGGTGGTAATACTATGGTGCTTTGAAATATGTGCACCATATTCTTGTACAATCGTATTCACCTGTACTCCAAGAATACTGTGCAGTGATACATGGCTAAAATGTGTGGCAATATTTCCACTACAGTCAGCTACAGCTTTAAAAAGCCATTATATGGCGCCATAATGTGTCTGACAATGGTATCACAACAAATGTTGTAAAGGGGGTTGATTTATGACTATAACGATAAGCGTGTTGCTCTGTCATTGTACAGCTACACGAGGACATCTCAAAGAGAGAGATAAACTTCCATAGTAAAGTTTCATAGTTATATTAAAGAGAAAGATTGATATTTGGAACATATGAATGGTGTGGGTCTTTTTAACCCGCCTTCTTCTCTGTTGAGCCAATCAAAACGTTCAATTCAGCGTTTCACAGCGAAGCCCCGCCTTCAAAGTTCAAATCAACGTCTCTCTGTTCTTAGATTTAATGCTGTATAATGAATTAATTTCTACGTCTTTGTTGTAGCTTGTTAGGATTTTTCTAGAACACAGAAAACTGGCACATTTCACTTTGTACTTATATATATATATATATATATATATATATATAAGTATGAAGTGAAATAAAACTAGTCTCAAGGAGTGAGTTACAGAGATTGCGGCTCGCACGAGTTAGCTCAACGCGCGAGACCCGCTCGAGCTGAAGATTGGGACTACAACTAAAGTAAAAGTAAAAGCAACCTGGACCCTTGAGATAACGTTAACTTGCATGTCAAGAAGCAGGTGAGAAGTCCATGTTTGCCTCATCGCTTGGTGATGGAAGGACGGGCTGGTGGTGTTAGTTTGTGCTGTTCTCAAGGCAACAGTCTGAAGTTCATGCATTCACACGAAGAGCGCTGTTTTTACACTGGAAGACAGTTTTTAGATTTTCTAGGTAAGAAATCTTATAATAGTACAGTCAGTGGGGCTTTGCATGTTAAAGTCCATAATAACAGATTGCATGTCTCAAACAGTAACTTATTTGTATTTCACTGCAGAATAGCGTGCATATTCGCAACTTTCCTTTCTCCTGATCAACAGGTTAAACCTCGTTAGTCAAGTTGTATTCTACTATTAACTAGACAGAAACAAGAACTTCTTATATAATATATAAAACATATAATGCTATTAAATGAATTATACATAGTACTTATATTTCAGAACCATGAAACATAAATACTATATAAAATGCCTTTGGATTTGCTTTATTATTAACTGACATGATATGTAAAATAAAGCAGGGTAAGTAAAAACATGGGTTAGTGTCAAGTTATGAAACAGTAAATGTGTAGTTGACATGATGTGAAGTATCGTCGTTTATGATTATTGTATTTATTTGTTAACATTTAATGTAGCCTTATATTATTATTTATTATATAATATATAATACATATTTTATATTCTTAATCAGGTCTTTACATCCATGAAACTGCGTATGTTTATTTTATTTTACATGGGATATTAACTAGAATGAGTGATTACAGATCTGAAGTGTATTTCTTACTGGAAAAATGTCATTGTAACTAGAAAAAAAAAAAGAAAGATAATACTTTCTATGTGCTGAACATTACCTCTAATAGAACATTTTTCAAATTATGATCAAATAATCCCAAACATGCCTTGTCAACCAAGAAGAGATGCTCAAAGTTTGAATATGGCACACTGATTTCATTGCCTGACATTAGAGTTGATCATGTGGCCTGTCTGATTACAACACAAATATTCTTCCACAGACCCTGTGGATCTTCTTGGCCCTTAAAGAGATTTAGGGCTCACTTTTCATTTTATTAATCTGTTCAGCTCTATCTGTGTGTGTGGGGGCACTGTTATGTAGGCTATTAAGTACAGTAACAGTGAATGATCTATATATAGAATATGTGTTGCTTGCTTTTGGCTGAGCTCACCACAGGCTCGCTGAATGGATGGCGGAGATTTAGACAAGCATTTAATTAACGTATGCTGCAGAACGCACTGCACTCAGGAGATTAGCAGACTCCCTCGGCGACTACGTTTGTGTTCATGCTGGCGGAGGATGCTGACAGATTGCTACGGTTTGTGTGTGTCTCTGGAATTGTTAGTTGCAACAAGCAAAAGTTACATCCACACAAGTGGGTCTGCTACACACAGGACATGACGACATGAGATATGCATTCTTGAAGTTTATAAAGAAACTTCAAGAACGTGTGTGCTTGTCTTTTCAGGGTCACTTTAACATTTTTAGAATATGACTAGATTAGACCCAACGCGCTTGTTTTGATTTTAAAAATAACAAGTATGCACAGCTCTGGATGTGGCAGTGACACAATTTAAGGCCTGTAAACCAAATTTAGTTTAAAAAAATGAAAAATGGAACAGTGTTTTTCTTTTATAAGGGGCTTTTCATTTGAAAGTTCATATGAAAGTTCTTTCCCAGCTATTCATCTTTGCCATGAAGCAGTGTTCTGAATGCTGATTGGCTATTCTGAGAATGATGCTTTGATGCCTGTGGCCGGCAGGGCACAGCAGAGATTGTTGTTGTGTGGTCACCATTGGCGACCAAGGGCTCTGTGAAGGTTGAAACAACTACTACACACCATTCACCCCCCAGACTGGTGTTTACTTATTGTTTAATATGAAAGTAAACAAAAAAGTCAGGTCAAGTGCATTTTTTGGATTAAAGGGGTCATATGATGTTGCCCTCTGTTGCTCAGGGCTTATGAAGCAGGTGAAGAACTGCATTATTTATTCAGATGTTTTGTGGTTCCACTTGAGAGCAGCTGTTTACAGACTTTGTGTAGCCTTTCATCATGCTCAATTAGCACTGAGCTACGGTACATGAATGACAGCATTAATTAGACTATTGTAAGAAGTTACACAGACGCTTAAGGGTATGTTCACTAAAAACGGATATCTTTAGTCACCTCCTTCTCTTCCAGCTTAAATTGATTTATTAACTGTTAATGTTTCTGTAAACAGTTGATAATTGTATATATCTTAGGGATGCACCGAATGTTCGGCAACCGAAATTATTTCGCCGAATAAGTGAAAAGACTGAATAAATTGTACCGAACAATGATATGACGCGATCAAATAGCAACCAGCGAAGAGTGAGAGGCGCGCATAAACTGCAGAACGTTATGTTTTCTAATACACGAGCGCATTGCATGTATTCTGACAGCGCTGCACGAACTCGCGGCGGATCTGCTTGTTAACCAGGGTTCAAAGTCCAAAGCGCAAGAAAAATCTGCGTTGAAACAGTCGTCAGTTGCTCAGTCACATTTTTATGAATGTTTACAAGGCACGTGACAATGCGATACGTACGACGTATTCGTAATGAGACTCATTTATAAATCTGTTGTCAACAAAAAGAAG